TTCCATTTTCTCGCGTTCACAAGTGATGACGTCATCTACAAATTGGTTGAAACCGTAGTTCGAACCATTCGCCCCGCGAGAAAACGCCTCAAAAAATACCTTGACAACTATCATTTTGTCAACTGTCAAACACGAATTCACGCACTGTGATTGGTTGGAAGGATAACAATCCGACAACATTACATGGCGTTCGGAAATTTTTCCGGTTGCCCTTCGATTCGTATCAAACCGAACGGAATGGTTCCCGAAAAGCCATACTGAATTGCAAAGTACGCTATCGAACCGAATGTTCGATTACTGCGCCGTTCGATAGTGTACCGAACCGAGAGATTCGGTCTACAAAAAATAAATACAGAATAAGGCCCCTTGGTCGGTTTATTCTTGGGTTTATTCGATGCCATAATCATAATCAGTGTTGTCGAAGCTACCGAAATTTCGGTATTTCTACCGAAATGGCAAGGGACCTACCGAAATACCGAATACTGATGAATTTTTACCGATTTTCGACAATAATTACGATTCTACCGATTTTTTTACCGTTTTTCGCCAAAAAATCGATTTTATCGTTTTTGTGTTCTACTATCGAATTTTTTGTCCATTTCAGAACTGTCAGATGTCAAATAGATAATAGATTCTCCGATGACAAAGGACCACGCACGGATCTTATGAGAAAAAATAGAGAGATATCGGTGAATCAGATACCGGTAATAGAAAGTTCTCGTGCCTTCGAAATTTCAAATACCGTAACGCTATTTGACAAGTATGACAGTTCTCTATGTCAAAACTAGTTTACGCTCCATTTATGTCTGCAAATACAGCAACTTCTAATAATTCCTCCATAAAATAGGGTGACCATACGTATAGCATTTCGCTGTATTGTACAGCATTTTCAAAGCCTGTCCAGTATTTGATTTTGTACAGCAAACGTACAACGATTCGGATCCGATAAAAAATAAGATTTTCTTTAAAAAAAATTTATGAAAAATTGTCCATCAACTAACGACTTTTCTACATTTGCGATTTACGTCATTTACGCCCATATCCCAGAGTATTATTCTTTTTAATGCTAACTACCTTTTTTATCTCTCTCTATTCCATGCTGCTAAGAAGAAGACACAGCATAATAGATCTGTTTCTGCAGCAATCACAAACCAGTCAGCGCGAATTTTATTGGTTGAAAAAATAGTCAGAAAATCAGAAACAGTCAGAAAACTAGTTTCAACCCAAGGTTCCTAAAGTTAATAGGTTGTCTGGTAATGGGAAACAGATGACGTCATCAGGAAGTTCTAATGGAGATTTGCATTATGTTTAGGCATCCAAATGTAGGGTACGAAACCTAATCGGTATCTGTATTCGTATTTATAGGTATAAGTATTTTTTTTTGCGTTTGTAATTATGTAAATATTATATTTCTTCATTTCTCCGAATAATTCTCTTCCGATTGTACCTATTTATTTTTACATAGACTGTACCGTCACGGTTGGGGCGCGTTCAGATTGAAGAGTCTGGGCGACGTCCAGTGCAGAGCGTACCCGATAGAGAGTGCACTCCGAGTGTGCCTGGCGATTCGCCCAATCTGAACGGCCAAAACGCATTCTCTCCTCATAACATCACTATTTATGGGATGCTTTGATTTTGATTTTGTTGCCTTTTCAAAATTCACTGTGTTCGTGATTCTAACATTTTTGTAAAATAAGAAAAAAGAAAATTCAAAGATAATCAACTCTTATTTTATTTTATTTTGATTTTTTTGATAGAACTTATCACATATAAAATAATACCTCTTAACCCCTAATTCTTATTTTAATTTATTTCCTATTTTATTTTATTTGTTGGATTAACTCGCCATAACTCCCAACAATAATATTTACAATATTTGCCTTTATTAGAGAGTTATTGGACGTGCAATAAGGACAAGCAGTATTCAAATTAGCCTTATTTTGACATCTACGCATGCGCATTTGGCTCCGAAATTAAGGATTCCCTTAATAAGGTTACTGCTTGTCTTTATTTGTGCATGGTTAGTGCGAGGCAGTAAACTTCCCTTATTTCAAATTTCTGACATTTTGGACGACTTTGACGTTTCGCTTTTCGACGATGACGTAATTTTACTTAGAAAATTTATTTTTTACAATAGTTTTCCATTTTACTGTGGGTAACATCAAAAAATGGGTATCAGCAGAAAATCACAAACAAAAATAAACACTTTTTGAGGCTGAAATTTATAAACATAACTATCAGCTGTCAAAATTATGAATACAAAATAAGGTAATACTCTAACACCTACTACAGTCTTCCAATAACTGTTATTTTCTTGGAAAAATAGTGCTGATGCACTAATAAAATACCGCAGATCCTTAATACTGCGAGGCAGTATTTAATAATTCCAATAACTCTCTATTATTGGTTAGAACATAAACATAACACAAACGCGCATGCGGGGCAAATTTTATCTTACTATTTTATGGGATGCAAAAGTGTGCGTCGGGGTGTCGTCAGGTAAAAATCTACTGACAATCTGAACGGCTGGGTAAATTTTACCCAAAGCAATCTGAACGGTCAGAGCGCGCTCGGGCGACAACCGACGTTCAATCTGAACGCAGCCTTGAATAGGCGAGGCGCGCTGGATCTCAGGGTATAGCAACAGGGCGACGAAAAGGGAATATCTCTATATAGGTTAATAGAAGAGGATAAAAGATACGAGCGGGAGCGATTCGCGGCAGTAACAAAGAGGTGCGTTCACAGTTATCAACCCAAAATTTTACGTTTCACCTCGGTTAGTTTAATGGGCGACGCACGCTAATTGATCGTCGTTCACAGTTGTCAACCCATTAAAAGCAAGCCCCGCCTTCATGTTTGTCTTCAACCTCTTCCAAACCTATCTTTCTGGAAATAGTTCCTCGTTCTCCATAATAAATTAATAATTTAAAATTGTTTTTATGTGAAAAAAAAAAATGGATCCGGGTACCTATTGCTTTTTTCTTGAATGACAATTAATGAATCGTTGAGTAATAGCAATACAATCCGCATCCACGACAAAGTATTGGGAGTGGGTCGAGATATTTTCCATTTTTTGAAATATTTAGTTTACAAAACAGTTTGAACTGTTTAGACCAAGTCAATATAATAGTTATTTGTTAGTTTATGTTGTTTTGTTGTTGGACATTTGAACCTTTTGAAAGTTTACACACATTGCGCAGCCGCGACAAATCTTCACTAACTATTTACTGGGTGAAAAAGTTGTTCGCCGTACGAATTTTCACTTGAACTGTGAACGCGGACAAATTTTACCCGGCTATAATAGAACTATGAACAGTCTTGACGAAGCCGGGCGTCGTCGGGCGATCGCACGCCGATAACTGTAAACGCATCCCAGGGTGGCACCGAATGGCACGGCGCCAGTGGGGAAGTAGCCACGAACGAATAATAAAAAAGACGGGTTAATCGTTAATTGAACGCTGAAGGCGGAAGACGGCCGCCAGATTTTTCCTAGACGGGGTAAATTTAAGACGCGACGTTCAATTAATTATCAAGACGTATATTTCTAGTTGTGAAGTTGTTATTGTTATTTTCTGTGCCGATTGTATATTTATTAATGACGTATTTATCTATTACCTATCAAATCTATCTATTTTTCGTAAATATTATTAAAATTACTTATACTTTCAACGGACCGTTACGTTTGATTTTCTGCTTGCCCCAAAATACCCCTAGACAACGATAAAAATCCTACACAAATGACGTCATAAAAGTTATCAGCCAACCTACCTCTTTCAAACTACAGTGGCTAAATAAACCTTTACATACAGTGGCGACAATAGAGGTCCCGCCGCCATCTTGTTCCCAACCTCTTGTTACTTTTAAATATTGATATATAAGATTTCAATGAACATCTTATCGTAAAAAATTGAAATTGGACGTATTTGATGACCATTATTAGGTCCATCAAATACGTTTTTTCCATGATTTATGATGGATGTTCACCTAAATCCCATATATTCATATTTAAAAGTAACAAGAGGTTGGGAACAAGATGGCGGCGTTTTCAATATAAATATATGGGATTTTAGAACCAATCAGAAATGAGACAGCAATTGTCGCCACTGTGGGTAATAGAGTCACTGTATTTCAAACAACCTTGGTTTCAACCATTAATGACCGTTTGCACCGACCATTTCAAGGAAGCCTTAACGTTGAGTATTCCTTAAAATGACATTTTTTCATAGAGAAATGTCAATTTAAGGGATTCCTTAAAAATTAAAATGGTCGGTGCAAACGGCCATAAGGTTTTCAACCAATGAAATTCACAGAACAGACCTATTATGTTATGTCTTTAATTTTTTGTTTTTGTGTTGAATGGTACTAAAACAGGCTTTAAACTCGACAAAATTTGCATTCAGTGCTTTCTCCACTCACTAACCCAAAATTTTAGATGTGTACAGCATTCGTACAAAAAAAATATGGTCACCCTACCATAAAAACACTAATGGGGTAATTTGGTCGCACTCTGGGCACGTCAACTCTCGATTTCTGAACGATTCCAGCGTAGCGCTCCGAGTAAGCACCTGGTAATTTATGAACGGTTTAGAGTAACTTTAGGGTCACTCTCACACCCAGAGTGTTATTTCTAAACGCAACCCTGATTTGGCGTGTGGGGGTCTGTAGTAGTAGTATGTATCATCCTTGCGCCCAACCAATTCCAATAACCCTTTTCACGTGGCTCCGGTTTAACAAACCGCAACATACCGCTCAAATTTGAGTGGTAGGCAGTGATGTGCCTGTAGACAATGTCAACGTAAACAATTGATTGTCTAGGCGTAGTTAAAAAAAGGAAAGTGTGAGGTTAGAATTGAACGTCATTTATATTATTTTACATTGTTGACACGTTGTCTACATTGTCTACATTATCTACACGTAAAGTAGACAATGAAAGTCTACGTGTAGACGCACATCCCTGGTGATAGGTATCCACACGTCACTTTGTAACCGTTTTGTAACCCGGTTAGTTAAACCGGAGCCGCGTGAAAAGAACTAATGATTCAATCCAATAACAATAACAAATAAAATGAAATGAGCAATTTAAATTTATATTCAGTCAAGAATTGTTGTTAATTAATGATGAGCAACAAATAACTTTAGCAACTAATGTAAAATGGAATCACGAGGTGAAACTTCCGAACTTCAGCAGCTTGTAACGAGCGATGCGGAAAATGACGACAGCACTATTCAAGAGGACAATACTGAGAGCCAGAGCAAAGTCATGTCTCCAATTAGAAGCAACAAAGTGGTAACAATAATGCAATTTATTATTAAAAATAAAACTTGGTTCTAACACAAAAATGACTACCATCAGCATTTTCGTTTTGTAGTTTTCCTCATCTGGGAACACAAGTCACAGCTCGGTATCGAGATCACTGGGTAAAGCAAACCATGCAGGGCCTTCTCTAGGGCCAATAGGAAATTCTAAAATAGCATACGTCAATGAACGTAGACCAGCTAGAGAGCCTGCTAAACCCAGTACAGCAAGGCCTAGAAATGCTCACAAAAGTAAGTAAACCCGTTAGTGAATAACTATTCGTAAAGTTTTTGTAATTGAATAAACTTTATTCTTGAGTCCAAAGTCCTGGGTTGTAAAATTGGATTTGGGAAGTTTTTTTTGGATTAAGGATTCTAGATTGTTATAACCAAATAACCTGAAGTTGCTCTAAAATGACGCAGTTTTATTTCACTTTATTTATTGGGATCATTTATTTGTTGTGTTTTGTATAGAGGATTTTTGGTACTTGAGTCAAAGTTGAGAAAACCCATAATTTTTTTTTTTTTTTTTGCGTTTGGGATTTTAATAATACTTAATACTTTATTTAAAACTGTTTGATTAGGTACATACATAACAATAAAATACTCCCATAGCTGGATTTATGCAGCAAATAAAATAAAATAAGATAAATTAAGAAATAACAGTTAAACTCATGAGATTACCCTTAAAGTGGTTATAGAGAAAATAACAAATAAAATAAGAAATGCATTAGTTATGTATTTGTTATGTTATCTTATTTTATTTGCTGTATAAATCCAGCTTAAGTCTAATGTCGAAAACAGTCCAATAACCTCGCCAATAACAATGTTAAAATTGCACCTAGCTGAACACCTGTATGTGTAACGAGATTTAACGCTAAATTCATAACTTATGCTAAAAACATAGTATTAATAATAATATTGCCTAATAAGCTACATTAAGTCAATAACAACCCCCAGTATATGAACCAAAAAGCTCAATCAATACAATAACACCCCAATAACCACCTAAGAAACTTCACAAATAAAAAAAGAAAAAAAATACAAATCAAAAGGAAGCTCGAAAGGAAGTGACCACGCACTAAAGCATAAGGTAAAGAAAAAAAAAGAAGCCAAATTTTCACATCAAAAATAGAGCCTTGAAATTGTGCAGATTATCAAAAATAAATTTTCTACACTCAATATTGAATCTTTGTCTTGACAGAGTCCTAACTTGTAGAAGCAACATGTTGTACAGTTTGGGAGCGAGCTAAGTATATGATCTCATATTTTTAGATGTGTTGTTCACAGGCATTAACAGGTGCCTATCTAAGTTGATTCTAGTTCTATAAGTGTGATTACCACATGATTTGTACTTAGTTTTGTGAATAAAGCAACACGTTGTCAAGCAATATAGAGAACACATGTCAAGAATTTCCTCAGGAGGTTTGTGGGGAAACATCTGTTTTGTTTAAAAATAATTTTAATAATATAATTTTGAACCATATTAAGTGGTTTTAGTGAGTTTTGGTACAGACCACCCTATGCCACAATGCTATACCTTATCAGTGACTCAGCTAAGGCCTTGTAGATCAAAATAAGAAGCCTTCCGCTCAATATTTCTCTTATATTGTGAAATTTATAAATTAGTTTACAAACATTTTTTGTTAAGTTATTAACATGTTGATCCCATTTCAAGTGTTTGTTAAATGTTACTCCCAAATACTTAATGCAGGCTACACCACTGATGCGCTCATTTAGCTTATCAATATAAATATCCTGAAAGTCAGGCTGATTTGCAGCCGTAATTGAGAATGCAATGTATTTAGTTTTGCTGATATTCAAGGTTAACTTGGTGTCCAACCAGTCCTTGACCTTATTTAGTCCCTCTACAGCAAAATTCCTAACTGATGGCCAAGACTCTCCTGAGAAAACCAACACTATCGTCAGCATAGGAAATCACTGACCCACTATTTATCTTGATGTCAGTTAATGAATGAATGTGTTATAAAAAGAATGGGACCTAATACAGTACCTTGGGGTACACCAATTTCTATTATGAGTGGGTCACTATTTATATTCCCTATTTTAACAATCTGGGATCTGTTTCTGAGGTAGCTATCAAAAACGTCCAACACGACACCCCTCACTCTATAAGATTGCAATACCTCAAGAAGAGATTCATGAGGTACCATGTCGAACGCCTTCGCCAGATCCAAAAAGATAGCCAAGCACTTGTTGCCATTGTCAAGACAGCTAGAAATTTGTTTGCAAATCGCATCTGTGGTGCTCAGACCATTAGTAAAGCCGAATTGATGTTCTGATAAAATACTGTTTTGTTGTAAGAAACTAACCAATCGATCTTTGAGACATTTTTCCAATATCTTTGCGAAGTTGTTAATAACACTGATAGTGCGATAGTTGCTTATTTCTGTCCTGTCTCCAGATTTATGAATGGGGGTAACCACTGCAGTTTTAAAATTATTTGGAACTTTATTAGTACAAAATATTAAATTTATTATATGAACCAAGGGTGTAGTTAAGTGCTTATGGAAATATTTTGTTATATTTGAGCTGATTCCATCAATTCCTGAAGCGCATTTAATTTTTAGTGAGTTTATGTGTTTCATTTTTTCCAATGAGTCTGTTGGTCTTAAAAACATAGAAGAAAGTGCAGTTGATTCAATCATGGTCGGGGCAATTGGTGTAGTAATTTTTTTACACATTTCAACGCCTACCTTCACAAAGTATTTATAACAGAAATCAGCCATATCCTTGTGGTTTCCGAAATTGATGTCATTATTCTTGATTTCAATGTTATTTTTCCTTTTTCTATAGTTCTCGTTAGACGCCTCTGACACAATTTTATATATTTTTTTCATGCCGTTGCCACTATTTTCTATCTATATTTATCCTTATAGTAATCAAGTTTTCTTTTTTGTATTATTTTATAGAGATTATTACGATATTCTACAAATACTTTCTTGTCATTCTAACTGAAAAGTAGTAAAAGCCTCTTCTTCATCTCGTCTCTCCTTTTGATACAGTTGACAATACCATTTGTGATCCAGGGTTTAATTTTTCTTCTCTCACTGATTTTGAATGATTTATGCACCTTAGAGTCATTAAGAATACTAGTCAATATATCTGAAAATTTCTGCGCGGCCATATCAGCATCAGACAAATTTAAGACACTGCTTCAGTCTTGGTCTGAAATAAGACTGCCAAAAAGATCTTATCCAGTTTTGAGCTGGTTTCCGATGTTACTCGTGTAGGGCTATTAATGGCAGATGAAAAACCAAAGTGGTTCATCATTGAGATATAACTGTTGACATCATTGTCATTTTCAGCACCTATATGTATGATGACCTCTATGAAAAGAAGGCCGGATTAACATCTGTGAAAGAAGGCCGGATTAACATCTGTGAGAAGAAGGCCGAACTCACATCTGTGTTATGATGGCTGGATTAACATCTATTTATATCTCCTATAAATATCTCAATCTGATTTTTTTGGCGATCAGAAAAAAAAACCCTCTACATCCCTGATAAAGCATGGCACATTCGAGGATGGGGGCCTATATGTATAGGGGTTATCTTTGTAATTTTGAATTCCTCAGGAAAGCTACCAGTGACCAAAATTTCATTGATCAATTTTAATAACTCTTTCAAATTTTGGATATCCCGAACTGTAATTTGATCATGCCCGGAAGCAGAATTCAGGTCCTCACTAGCTTTCCCAAGTTTCTCCAAGTCTGTAGGTGCTAAAAATAGAGTATTTTCGCAGTTGATTTCTTGGAAATTATTTATATTATTTTGTAAATCTGGCTGTAAGCTTTGAAATTCTTCATCTATACCACTGACAATTTTTTTCCCTACTTGAGAAAAGTGTTTATTCAAAACACGTCTACAGGATTTGTACTTACAATATTATCAGACTCGAGTTTATTAATTGTAATCATTGATGTTTTATTACCCAAGAAGTCATTAATGAAACGCCACTGTTTTTTAAAGTCACATCCTGTTTTTTCCCACTTGCTTTTGAAGTGATTATTTTTTATTAACTTTATTTTATTATTTATTTTATTTTTTAGGGATTTAAAATTAATTGCACTAGTTGCATCGGTTTTTTGGCACATTTTTTTATATATTTAGTTTGTGACGTTCATCCATGAGATTGAGTAACTCACCAGTTATCCAAGTGTTAGATTCTCGGACTTTAATAATCTTGGTATACTCGCACTGTGTTTTACACTGTTGTAATTAGATGTTGAAAAGAGTCTATGTTGTTGTAACTAGCTTGATTTGAGAAAATGTCTTTAAACTTATCGTGATTTATTCTCTTTACTTCATAAACAGTCTTTGGTTTGTAGATTTTCACTTTTTCGGCAAGATTCACCAATATTCTCCTGTGATCTGAGAAGGGATTTTCATCCACGGTAGTTGCACAGTTCTGGTTGTTTTTTATACTTAATAATACGTGATCTATTATGCTTTTAGAGGTTGATGTTATTCTGGTGCACTTTCTATATTTATTTCATTGTCAATCGTGAAATTATTATGGTTTATAATATTTTTGTAGTAGATTTTTGGAAAACTCTGTCATAATTTTTTCTAGATGTTGCAAGTACTGGTTAGTATCATACGACGGTGGTTTGTATACAACGCTGATTTTTAAATCCTTTTCTCCAATTTGTGCATATAACCAATTATAGTTTTCTTCGGCAGGCGACTTGGCAAGCTCGTTATATTTAATTGGCAACACCACCCCCTCTCTTGTCTTGACAGGAATGCAACATATCATAACCATTTAATTCATAGCAATTAATTTCAGTTTCACACAGCCACGTTTCTGATAAAAGTAATATATCACAGTCATTTTTAATAACACAGCCCTCTGTAATTCTTCCATCTTATTTCTCATGCTCTGAATATTCATATATACTACTAGCTGACCCGACGAACTTCGTACCACTCTGAATTATCAAAAATACCTATTAGATGTTGTGTTAGTTAACGTATCTATTAGCTGAATTAAATTCAGTTTTTTTCTATGGTGAATTTGGCTTTGGTTGAAGAAAATTGATGTTCACTTTCTGGATCAGAAGTCACCTAAAATTAAAATTTTACATTATCCCTTTTTAGGCAGCTTGTGGGCATTATTCTTGTAAATTGTACCACCAAATAAATAAACTCAAGCACAGAAATATTCAAAGTATGTAAAGAAAACAAAAAAAATCTCCAGCGCAGCCCTGTTTCACTCTATCTGCACTGCACTACTCCATCTGTTCTACTCTATCTGCACTATTCTATCTGATCTACTCTTTCTGAACCACTCTATCTGATCGGAAAAGTGGAATAATTCTGTTCGGAATAGCTCTAGTTCTTGAGCAGCATTGTTCTACTGTATCTGCAATGAAATTACCGCGCAACGGCGAGTTTCGTTCTAGGTATCAGAGATGGCGCCGTATACAAAATGGTTTGCAATTAAAATGAATTGGTATCGGTTATAAGAGATGGCGCCGTATGCGGGCTTAGTGAATTTTTTTCATAAATAAGTAAAAAAGGTAGTTTTTTTTTTCGATTTGTTATGTTATTAAGGACAAAGACAAATCCAATAAAGCAAAAATCATAAAAATCAGTCCAGCCGTTCTCGAGTTATAAGTGCTAGAACCAACACAACTGTGTTTTATATATATATAGATTTGAACAATTCAAGATTCACCGTTTGTATGAATGCACTCAACAATATGTTTAAAAATATAAACACAAAGCAATAATTATTGCTGACAATTTATTTTAATCGAAGCACGCCCAAAATGAAATGACCACATTAATGACATAACAACATGCTGCTATTGTCAACGCTGAAAAAACTTTCAATTTGACAGTAAAATCCCCATTAACAAAATGATCCTCCATTTATTGAATAATAATTCATTTATTACAAAAAATGTGATAAATGAAGAACCGCTCGACCGATTTTGTGCAAACTTCACATAAATCATCTAATAAATAGTCCAAACAAAGCCTAAACATTTGGTTTGGCTAGATGAGCCCGTTCTTGAGTTATAAAATTACAACGAAAAGTGGCATTAATTTTTATATACACAGTGTGTAAAAAGTCCCGGAACAGTCAATTATTTTGAAAATGATGCACAATATAAAAAAACTTCCTGTATAAAAGTTGAAGGCCTTAATAAAGTCTATTGAAATAAGACTTTTGTAATTATACAGGGTGGCCCAAAAAGTTGTGCTATACAAAACTTCATTTTTTTTTTAAATGGAATGATCCTTTTCTAATTCCTCTAGAGATTCTAAACAACAATTATGAAACATGTCATATGGCTAAACCCATTAGTTTCAGAAATAATTTGAGTTGAAGGACATAAATACGATATTACCTACATTTTGCATTGTTTTGAGTTAGTTCAAAATGGTCACCAGACCTAAAGCCCCTTGATTATATTCTTCGGGGAAATCTGAAAAATAAAGTGTTTGTGACAAAACCTGCAGATCTGAACGAATTGAGAAAAAGAATTATTGAAGAATGTGCATCCATTAACCAAGTAATGTTACAAAACCTCATCAATAAATTTTATTATAACCTAGCCCATTGTCAAACTGTGAACCAACCCGAAACAATGCAAAATGTAGGTAATATCCTGAGGTAATCTCGTATTTATGTCCTTCAACTCAAATTATTTCTGAAACTAATGGGTTTAGCCATATGACATGTTTCATAATTGTTGTTTAGATTCTCCAGAGGAATTAGAAAATGTAATTAAAAAAGGATCATTCCATTAAAAAAAAATGAAGTTTTGTGTAGCACAACTTTTTGGGCCACCCTGTATAATTACAAATGTCCTATTTCAATAGATTTTATTAAGACCTTCAACTTTTATACAGGAAGTTCTTTTATATTGTGCGCCATTTTCGAAATAATTGACTGTTCCGGAACTTTTTACACACAGTGTATATAGATACGTAGCCCATTTCCACAATTGTCATCTAGTTTTTTAAATCCTCTTCTTGCTCAATCAGCATTACCCTACTATTTTCATCCTTTCTCAGCAATATTTTTCCATTTGCAACCCATAGATATTTATATTCATTGTCTTTTCTAAAATTCTGAGCAGCCTTAAACACTTACAGCTGTATGCAACATCCTCTTTTAACTTAAAAGCGCTTTTTAAAACTGGTCACTTTTAAAAATTTGTATTTTAAGCGAAACAAATTTTTAAAGGTATCAGTTTTGAAAAGCGCTTTTAAGTTAAAAGAGGATGTTGCATACAGCAGTTAAACGTTTTTTTAGTTAAGTCATGATTTATGAAGATTCTGCTGTTGCCTCCTAGCTTCAATCTTCCTGCATCCAGATTGACTTTTTTAGGTGATTTCATGAGAGTTTTTTTTTATCTCACCACTTTGAAAGAACTTATACAAAAAAAAAGTCGCGTGCAGCACAGTGCACGTGATAAAATTGACGTTGAGTGAGTGAGTGAGAGAGAGAGTTCATATTACATTAATGCGTTAAGAACAATACTCTCTTTCATTCACCATCTCTTTCTCTCTCTCTCCCTCATATTCATCATATGCTTCATCTCACTTGCGAGACGAAAATTTTATAAATCGTGTTGTAACGCGACCTCTAAAATCACTCTTATGCGGCCAAAGAAGTATTCACTTCAAAAACTTCGCCCTTGAGCACACAGTCACTGCATACGTTACATGTCATGTATCATTCCTTTATTGTTTTAAAAAGACTCTAAAAAACAACAAAACAACTAAATTGGATAATCATTCCTTAGCAAATATAAACAAAAACACGTCTCTCGATAATTTGATTAATTCTCAATATCTATTTGCTTCTAAAAAAAGACTTATGATGTGAGGGAGGCGTGCATATTGGTGGTAGGAGAAAACAAGAAAGATTTACCAACAAACCATCCAAATATGTGAGGGGGTCAAAGGTCTGATTTAATATAAATAGACGGTCAGCTAATGACAGATTTTGCTGACCGATATTCTTTTTTTTTTGGAATTTCAACCACTGAAAATTATATGTCAGTGCCAAGCCCAAAAAATTAAAATTTAGCGACCGTAGGTTTACTAGGCATATGGAAAATTTTGCTTTGCTTAAAGTTGCACTTTATCACACCTATTTGCAAGTGGAAAGGTTGAGGTAAAGTAGAATGCAAAGTGAGCTATTCACAGATTCCTGAAGATGGAATATAAACTCGAAACGTCCGCAATAAAATAAATTTATTGGTTATTTGATTTTTTCAGCTTTGACCAATACATCTCCTAAATCTTCAAATTATAATTTATTTTGTTCCTCTGCAGAAATTAAGTTGTTTGTCTCTAAGTAGGTGAATTTTAAATTTGTTTAATTTTTATTTTATTATTTGTGTTTATTTATTATTATTATTATTTTTTTTGTTTTCTTTCCTTTCCATTGCACTATAGTAGACATCCCCCCACCTAAACCTGATATCCACCACCATTCTTTTATCTCTCAAGTGCCCGACGTGCGTCACATGGAACGAGCTCTGCTGGGTCTTCTAGCCGATTTCCACTCTGGAAAACTTCGAGCCTTTGGTGGTGGCTGTACCATGGAACACATGACTAATATCCGGGAGCAACAGGAAAAATTAGCAAAGCTGCACTTCGACTTGGGTGGTGCTGCCACAGTGCCCTCTTTAACAGAGGACAGCTTGAAAACGTCACGGAATACTATGAGCCAGCTGATACAAAGATTGGAACAGTTGAGTGTGTCAATTGAGGCTCTGCATAGTAGTAATACAACAAAATGATTTATTAGTGGTTGCATGTTTTTATTAGATAGGAAGGGACAGTAAATTTAAGTTTTTGTTACATGAATTTATTTCAAATAAACATCTCAAAAAATACTTTTTATAGTGTTGTTTTATTTACTTTTGTTAGCTGAACCTGGTGCTTGAGAACCACGTTTTTCTAAAATAAAAAATCAAAATCTAGTTAGGCCAACCAATATATACTCTACTGGAATATTTTAACTTACTTATTTTATTTTCAGCGGCATTTGATGCTGATACAAAAGTCCTTTGTAATTTTGACTTCTTTGACTCTCTGTATGTTTTAGCTATATCTTTGGAGAGCTCAGCTATTTTGATCATCACGGGTGCTGGATAACTAGAAAAAAAAAATTGCAATATGCATACCCATGGTAGGTCACTCGATAGAATTTGTACAGTTAATTACAAATATTCACATTCAATTACACGTATTTTTTTTGTAATTGAATGTATTTGTTTCTAATTGAATGTAGTTGAGTGTAATTGAATATAATGAAATGTATTTAAATGTAATTTATTTATTTATTTATTCATTACAAACTCTACAGATTTACATCCAGTTACAGAGTAGGGTAGAAGACTAACCTAAGTGGAAGCAAAAATATAAAGTAAAGAGTCATCGAGAGAGTAACTTAACATTAAAATCTACATTTGTACAAATATATCATTAAGTATTAATTTCAGCCTACTTACAGAACTTAAATTCCACATATCAAATTGTAGGCGCATTTGGTTGTATAATTTACACATTACAATAACAGGCGAGTTGTTGTAGTAATTAGTTCGAGTATTATCAGTATATAAGCTCAAAGGATTTCGTGTTCTATATGTCGGAGCATAAAATTTAATTTGGTTCAACAAATAAGGAGCATTTATCATGTTATTTAATATTTTATAAAGAAATATAATTGTAGAAAATTTCCTCCTGCCTTCAAGCGTTTGTATATTATGAGCTTTCATGATTTCTAATTTTGGTATATGCATTTCGTATCGCCCTGTTTCCTTGTAGTGTAAATATCTCAAAAATTTATTTTGAATTTTTTCAATACTATATTTATGATTCTCATAACACGGGCTCCATATTATAGAACAATATTCTAATATAGTCCTCACATATGAAAAATACAGAGTTTTAACACGCAATATATTGAGCTCTTTGCAATTTCTGACAATAAATCCATACATTTTAGATGCCCTACTTGTTATGTCATTTATATGATTTCTGAATGTAAGCTGGGTGTCAAATATTACTCCAAGATCCCGCATTTCTGCAACCCTAGCCAGTGCCCTCTTGTTCATTGTATACTCATAGTTAAAATGCGTTTTTCTTCTACTAAAACTAAGCACAAAACATTTGTCAAAAAGTGTGATAAAGCTGTCATCAACCAAAAGAGGCAAGTCATTAATAAATAATAAAAATAGGATTGGTCCAAGGACACTCCCCTGAGGAACCCCAGTTTCAACGGCTGCCCAATCGGAGATTGCTACTCGACCCTCAACATTCATCCTCACAGCCTGGGTTCTACCTGACACAAATATGATACCAGCCACCCGTAAGCTGGGCCTCTTATTCCATAGTGAAAGATTTTATTTAGAAGTATGCTGTGGTTGATGGTATCGAAAGCCTTAGTGAAATCGAAGAAAATACCCACTGATTTCAGCTTTGCATCGAAACCATCCAAAATTGCAGTATACAGGGAGACTATGGCATCCGTTGTAGAGAGCCCAGCTCTGAATCCAAATTGACGGCATGACAGAATGCCAAAAGCGTCCAAAAAAGCGACAAGTCTTCTCCCGAAGGACCTCTCAAAAATCTTAGAGAATACAGACAGCAGCGCAATGGGCCTATAGTTCTCAACCAGCGATGTCTGACCCTTTTTGTGAAGTGGTATCACAATGGCTGCCTTAAGCTCTTTAGGAAAATATCCAAACTGAAAGGACACGTTCAGAAGATAGGTCAGTACAGGGAGAATATTAGAAGCACATTCACACAATAAATTACAAGGAATCTCATCAGCGCCACATGACCTTTTTCCTGAGACAGATTTAATAATCTCATGAGTTTCACTCTCAGTGAGAGGAGACAAGAAAATAGATTGAGATATTCCACTGCACGGCATATTAATGGTTGTAGGTGCCTGAAAATTGTCCAGGAGTTTAGCTACTGATCCGACAAAAAAGTCATTGAAGGTGTTAGCAATGTTCAGACTTCCGGTAACATCCCTGCCGTTTGCTGTAATCTTATCAGGAACAGACTTTGACTTGCAGTTTGAAAAGCCTGTAGTCGAATTAATGATATTCCAAGCGGTTCGCGTAACATTCCTAGAGGTTAATATTTTTTGAGAATTAATAGTTCTCTTAGCAGTGGCTATATTTTTTCTATGATCCCTTAATCTGGCTTTATATGACAAATGCAATTCGGGGTTGTCTAGACATTTTAGTTGGATATGAAGATGTCTCAACTGTTTACCTTCATTGATAATTGAGGGCGTTATCCACGAATTAGACACCCTTTTATTGGGCTTACGTTTAGTTACGCATGGAAAGCATATGTCAAACAGACTGCGAAAAGTGTCGAAAAAATGGGTAAACTTATCTTCTAATTTCAGAGACTCTAGAGCAGACAACCAATCTTCTTTAGATAGTAAGAAGTTAAAATAGTTAATGTTTTCCTGAGAAAAGGATCTGGAAGTAACTGTACAAGATTCGACTGGATCACCACTCACCTGGTGACTCAAATCAAAACTCAAGATCTGTGCTCGGTGGTCCGTAAAAGTCAAATCCAATGTATTAGTCGACACCGGATTTACATTCGTAAATACATTATCAATTAAGGTGCGTGATGTGCCCTGAATTCTAGAAGGTTCAAAAAAGGCTTGTTCAAGACCATACGAGCTGAATGCATTCACAGTGTTCATTGCTTCCCTAGATCTAGAATCAAAATCGTAGTTAAAGTCACCACAAAAAAACATAAAAATACTACGCTTACATACAAACTTCAACAATTTTTCAAGGCAGACACTGAAAGTTAATAAATCAGAACTAGGAGGACGATACAGACAACAAACCAAAATATTCAGATTGTTCATGGTTTTCAACATAGTTGAAGCACACTCAAAATGATTTGACAATGAGAAGTCCTTATCTGCAAGTTGTTTATGAGTACCAAAGTCAGTCCTAACAAAAACTGCCACACCACCAGCATGCGATGAGTCCCTGCAAAAGTAGGCAGCTATCTCATAGTTGTTAAGCTTATAACATGTAGCTTCTGTATTTGTCATCCAGGTTTCAGTGATGCACACAATCTCAGGGTAACCCTCAGAATGCATGAAAAGTTCCAGTTCAGAAGACTTAAGTCGTATGCTCCTGGCATTAAGGTTGACAATTCTTGTTCCGCTCATAGATTCAATTCTTGATTCTGCCTGAATAACCGTTCTTTGCGGTACTGGATCTGGATCCGGATCCCTGGCCTTGGGCACGAAAAAATGTAAATTTCTTGACAGCTATACCTTCCGGCCAGCTATGAGGCTGAAGCAAAGTTGCCTCCAGTTCTTTAGGCGCCATGACTTTAAACGCCTTGTATTCTCCGGATTTCACCTCTGATTCCTCAATCTTGAACCTAATGTTCTGTCCAAAATTGGCTTTGAGATACTCCATAAGGTCAGACTGACTAGTGACAAGTGACACCCTTGAAACAGAAATTGTAGTCAGAGGTGCGGATGCCACCAGTTGGCCAGGATTGTTATCCAACTTTTTCTGGCCAATAATAGCACCATTTCTCCTTTGATTTGAAACTCTTCCTGAGGTGGAGGCGCTACTGACGTCTCCATTGTTGTCTTGAGCCAAGTTAATGTATTTGCTTAAGGTCTGTTGGGTTGTGGCTTGCATAACAGCATGACCCACCTTTTGTGCAGATAAGGCAACTTTCTGTGAAGTATTTTTTTTGCTTTTGTTGACCTGGGACTCCACTCCACCAGTTAGGCTTAGTTTTTCCAGCGATTTCTGCATCTCCGAACTATTCAGTTTAAGACCATCGACCAGAGATCCAATTTGGTCAGTTATTTCCTTTGTTTGTTTATGTAGGGCCTCTGTAAATTTTCCAGTTATCGAGGCTTCAAGGTTATTGAGCTTGCTATCATCAGAAACTGTTACCGGTCTCAGCTGAATATGTTCCTCGATAAGTTTAATTTTCTTTTCCATGTCGGTAATGACATTCATTACTGGCTTCGTCTGTTTCAGTTTTTTTAGCTCTTCCTCTGATCGTTTAATTTGATTACACAATTCATCTGCTTTAGCACAATTTTTTTTAGTTTCTTCTTCACAGGTTGAAAGCCTTTGACACAACTTGGACATGCTACTGAGCGTTAGATGGACACAGTCGGGGCAAAAGTGCAGAAGCGATCTTGCCTTAAGAGACAAAACTCGAACTTCAGTTGGACTAACATTGTTGCAAGTAGCGCATATTACTTTCTGACAAATATCGCATGGAGAACCAAATAACTGCGATTTGTCCTCCTTGAGTACACAAGCCTGATTACATTTATAACAGATAGGCATGTTAACGAGTAGTAATTTGCAAAGTAAAAAGTGGCAACGTTGAGAGTAAAGTAGCGGTCTGGTGCAACCTTGGTGCAAAACGCGCGCAATCAGAGCACTCCGAGTCTCCGAACTGACTGCAGCGTGGCAACGTCGGACTGACACTATAAATTTTGTGTGGGTCCAAAGTCCAATCTCAAATCACCTGAGAGCAAGCTGTTTTCGACGGTAGATTTTCAGCAAGAAAAAATCAAATGGACCGCCACCAACACTCCCACAGACGCGGCACACTCTATAAAACAGGCCGACTGCAAAATGGACTTATTAAGCTACAATAATCCACAAAACAACACAAATTCAAATTCAAATTCTTTATTGGTGTTTTTACACAGTGTGCTTACACAAGTCAATAATAATATAAGGCTTACAGCAAAATAATGTGCTATGGTACTATTCATTACAATCAATAAAATAACAAGATGATACAAATATAGATATAGACACAGATACAAATTCAAATATGAAACACAAAGATCAAATAAATTTGAACATAAAATACAAATAAGTAGTTTGAAATCATTAGGACAATACTCAACT